ATGAAATGATGAAGGAACTTTGGAGGAACAATAAGTACTCCATTTTGGCTGAGGCTTGAGTGGTAGGGAGATTGGTGGGAAATAAGGCTGCAGAGATAGATTACGGATGGAACACACAGCCTTGAACAGGAGGCTAAGGAGTTTATACTTAATTTTAGGAAGCCATTGAATTTTTTTGAGTAGGGAATGGCACGACTATAGCTATGGATTCTAGAAGGTTAATCTGTCTAGGATATGCAGAGAGAAGTGTAAAGGAGAGAAACCTATGTCATTTGTAGTGGACCAAAAATGATGACCTGGACTGGAGATAGGAGAGGGAGTAGGGTGGACAAAAGTGAAGAGTTAAATGCTGATGCCTGGTGGCCAATGGTTAAACGGCTGGCTGCTAACGAGAGGTAGGCGGTTCAACCCACTAGCCCTCTGGAGGAGAAAGGGCTCGGGGATCTGCTCACGTGAAGATTTTGGGCTAGGAAACTCTGTGGGGCAGTTCTAATCTATCCTCTAAGGTTCCTTTACATAAGACTCTACTGGAAGCACAAAACAACAACACAGTTGCTGATTGTAGTGGTGGGAGGAGAAGAGAAACAGGTTATTTTTTGTATCTGAGAGATTTGAAGAAATGACTGAAAGAGGAAAGAAGGGAGGAAGAGGAGGAAGTTAGGGATTGCTCACTGCACACCCTAGTGCACGAAAAGTTGAAAATGCAGGTCTGCAGTTTAGCGGAGGAGTCTGGGCAGGAAATGGCAATTTGGAAGTCATCTGCACAGAGACTGTGGCTGAGGCCTGCAGCTGGGAGAATGAAATGCATGGGAGTATGTGAGTAGATTGCCCAACCTTCCTTCCGAGGAGGTTGGGCAATCTATTTTTGTAGAGATAGTGCCTGGGAAACCCAAGAAGGGGTCGCTATGAGTAACAGCAACATGTGAATCTAGAACCAGTCCTAAAGCCAGAAATTGAGGCTGCACCGCTTCCTGATTGACAATTTTCACGTGGGCGTGGCCCTCAGTAGCTAGCAAGTAGACGGATTCCCGGTTCTCATTCTGCCCCGAAGCCTACAGTTTGGCAACTGAGTAAGCATTTGGCTACAAGGAAACAAAGAGCAACCCTCAGTAGGGTTCTGGACGCCTCGGACGGCTAAGCGCGCTCCCGCAACTTGCGCCGGCGCGGCCCGGCGTCTCCTAGCAACCTGGGCCAACAGTGGATCCGGATCTCTAGGCGTGTAGGCGAGTAGCTGTGGGTGCCGATCGTAGGGTTTGAGAAGCTGCTGCTACGCAAGAAACCAGGGCAGGTAAAGGCAGTCCCTTGACTACACTTCTACACCCTCGGAATTGGAGAGGTTTAGGGCATAGGCTGGAAAAAAACGTGGTAAACGAGAAGGTGGAAACTTAGGGGCCCCTGAGGAAACACTTTATTGGGAGTTTTAAGTCCCTGGCCGGTACTCACAATGTAAAATGGACATTGGACTGGGTTTCATGAATATCCCTGCCACTGCCCACTTAACAGATGACAAAACTAAGTTCCCAAAAGGGGACTTGAGGGCCTAAGATTCAGTTGTCTGAACTGTGAACAACTTAAAAAGTGGGCCCTTCTTCCGCTTTAAAAGAAATCTTCCCCATTAGGTAACTAGCTAAAGATCGTAAGTTGAAAGTACACAGAAGAATTACAAATAACCAATAAATTCATGAAAAAAAATGTGGCCCCTCTGCAATAATAATAATAAAAATGCTCAAAGGCTCCTTCCTTTTATAAATTTATTTTAATTGAAGAGTGGGGATGTGGATTGAAAACTTAATGTCCCAAGATGTTCACTGCATCCTTGTCCATAATTCCAGAAAACTGGAAACAAATACTCAACAATTGGGAGATTGGTTGATAAATAATGCATTTTAAAATATTGTTTGAAATGACATGATAAGCTGATCCACTGGGAATGATTGGATAGATAAATAGTAGAGGAGATAGATTTCACAAACTTGTTCATTTATTGTTTAAGAACACAGTAAGGAAATGGTCCCACTTGGGAAAGGATGGAATGGGCATTAGACAATCCAGGTGTTGTTGTTGTTGTTGTTATGTGCCGTCAAGTCAGCCCTGACTCATAGCGACCCCTCCTTGGGTTTCCGAGGCAGTATCACTACGAAAGTAGGATTGCCCAACCTTCCTTCCAAGGAGTGGCTGGTGGGTTTGAACCGCCAGCCTTACACAAGAAAGGAATTATCAGAATGCTCATAATGCTGGTCTACCTGAATTTATCTCTGGGTGATTTTTATTTTATTCATGTATCTTTTGTTTTCCAAATTCTCCATAATGAAATCTATTACTTTGATTAGAAATAAAAAGTTATTAAAAATATCAGTGGGCAAAGTGGTGAAATAGTAAAATAGGTTTAATTCAACTGCTTCAAAAAGTCAAAAGGTTTTATTTTTAAATTTGCTGTCTTTGTAGATTTAAAAGAAAATATTTAAAGAATAAAATAGTATAAAGTAACGTTACTGTAAGGAGCCCTGGTGGTGCAATGCTTAAGCACTTGGCTGCAACTAAAAATCAGTGGTTCAAACCACCAGGAGAAAAGACCTGGTAATCTGCTCCCATAAAGAATGTGTGGCCTAGGAAACCCTATGATTGAAACCAAACCAAACTTACTGCCATTGAATCAATTCCAACTCATAGCTATCCCTATTGTGTTTTGAAGGCTGTCAATCTTTACAGAAGCCGACTGTCTCATCTTTCTTCTACAGCAGCTGGTGGGTTCGAATCACTGACCTTTTGGTTATCAGCCAAATGCCTTAACAACTATATCACCAGAGCTCCTTTAGGAAACCCAATGAGGCAGTTCTATTCTGTCATTTAGGGCTGCTATGAGTTGGAATCAAATGGGTGGCACACACCATCACTAGCAACATTACTATGATGCTGAACAATTTTCAGTGGACCTTCCAGACTAAGATAGACTAGAAAGAAAGGGCTGGTGATATACTTACGGAAAAGAATCCAATGAAAAAGCTAGGAATCACAATATGGTCAGATCTGGTTGTGCATGGGGGTCACTACATGTCAGAGACCCACTAGTCAGCAGCTACAATAATGATTTAATTGTAGCGAGTTGATTTTAAGTGAAATGTTGAGTTTACAGGTTTTTTTTTCTTTTTTCTTTTTTTAATCTTAGGATCTTCTCTGTGGCTTATTTCCCCTGGGCCTATCTCAATTATATACTCTCTGCCTCATTAACTACTGTACCTAGTAAGGTAATGTAAACACAAGTTTTTGCTTTTTCACAGTATTGCTAGGACTAGCTCTATCATTCCAGTCTGCACTCTTCATTATGCAATTGCTCGAAAACACTATGTTGAAATAGGAAAAGTATGTTCTTGGGTAAAAAATCAAAAGACTTAAAACTTTAAGCAGGTATAATCTAATTGCTTCTTGAATATTTTTCATAAGGCTGCTATATCTTCAAATTTATTACAAAGAAGAACTATAAAATTTCTTTTATTAGAGACCTAATTATGGGGTAGATTTTCATTTGTCCAGAATGGTTTCCACGTGTCTGCCTGAAGCATTATGGCACAAGGTCTAGGGACTGTGAGCTTCTCAAGCATCTCTGAAAGATTAAAAAAAATTGGCTCGAGAATATGAAAACTAGAAAATCAATATTAAGTGAAATGTTTTTATGAATATTAAAATTTTATTGCATTTGAAAACAATTTTCTCATTTTGTAGGAATTTTTAGCTATGCATACTGATTGCTGAGTCATTTAACATGCAAATTTCAAAACTTTTTATGATGAAAATTATATTTAATGGAGAAGTAGGTACTTTTTAGCATTTAAATATATTGCACATAGTGTGAAGTAGTACATCACTGAGTAAACTTGCCTAGGCCCTCAGAGATCTTAATATTTATGTGTCCTAAAGTTAGGAACCTGGAATAGATGTCTTTCAGGAGTCCCTAGGAGTTTCTGTGAATGTGTGGCTTTGTAATAATGTATGTTATTAAATTCTGGTCAGCATCTCTAAGGCCAGGGATTGCTTTTGTCTCAGACATGCACTTTGAACTAAGCCTGACAGTGTAGATTTTCTTGAAGGATTTTCTACTTCCCAAGATTTCTCTTGAGTTCCTTAGGACTAGACTATACCATCTGGGATTGCTCTAGTGCCAGACAGAACCTCATAAACTCTCCCTGGGGAAAACTAGAAAGATTTAGAGGATCCTCAGTACCAACCAAAGTTTTTAGTACCCAGGTTGAGTTATTTCTTTGTGGTATGTTAACTATGAATACTGTTCCTTTGACCCTTTTCAACATAAGCATGGGCATGTGAGGGTAGATGGAAAAGGGTCCTACCAGGAATAATCCTAGTATCTTCAGAATGTATCTCTTCAGATTCTCAATTATGTTATTATTGAATTATAGATTACAGTAGAGAAAACTTTCTGTTATATGGGAAACTGACAAAAATGGTAAGTCAGAGTTAGTAGAATCTTGGATGCCATTCTCAAAATCATTATTCCCAGGAAAAATGGAGTTAGTTATTTCTATTAATACCAAATGCCCACTATGTACTAGATACTGTTCTAGATGCTTGAGATACATCAGTGCCGCAAAATAAACAAAAATTCCTGCCTTTCACGATATTTATATTCTTGTAAATCTCAAAAGTACTTGAATTTAGGCCCATCATCCATGAGCTGTAAACGTGGCAAACTGTTTCTTGTTATGTTAGTAAAAATTACGTCACCTCCTTTCCAAACTGGAAGTCGGGACTACTTTTCAAGAATATTTCTAATAACTTCCTTTAAAATTATAGAGTTTTGAAATAGAAAAATAGGTGACATATTTGTAATATGCAATAATGTCTACCTGAATCACATTTTCTTTTAGAATAGGTAGAAATTTCAAAATGAGATTAAAACCTCCTCCTAAGGACACGGGGAACAGAGAGATTTGTACATACATAGTATACAAATGACACTTTAACCATTTACTGTATCTTTTTCCAGAATGGGTAAAAAGATAAAGAAGGAAACAGAACCTCCTCCTAAGGATGTGGTAAGTCTCTGATCTGAATGCCAGTAGCACTTTAACAACCAGTTTTTAAGATAAATTGTTAAAACAGTTTGGCATGTACCAGAATACACATGAATTCATGGTGGCAGAAGTCCAAAGTCTGACTAATGATAAGATTAGTCAGAGAAATCTAACATTATATAAACAAACATTTACAACATTGTCATTACATAATTATCACAATTAGACAGCAATTATTAGCTTTTCTAGTATGTGGATGGCATGTTTACAAGCCTAGTTAATGAATAAATACTTTTGGTTTGTCTTTTAAATACTTTATGTTTGCCAATCTCTCACTAATGTTAATTATCCAAGTAAATTATCAAAAATAACTAGATGTTTTGCTATAGCTATTAGATATGTATACAAAGTTGTCTGAAGATGAGTTCAGCCACTTGCACATCAGAAGTCCTCTTTTCTAATTCTATAGACATGGAAATCTGGATTCATAATCTTTTTTAATCCAAACACTTAAGAAATGCATCACATTCTCCACAAAGCTCTTGCCTCTCTATTTTAAGCACAGCTATATCTTCTCTCTCTAAAGTTTATGAATTTCTGAAAGACTGTGTTAAAAATGGAAGATGATCTTTGACAGTTTTTCATTTAGAAACTATTTTGAAGTACATGTTGTGTGATTTTTCTGCAAATAAAATGTGAACTGGAAGAAATTATTATAATCTATTGACTCACAGGATTTTAAAGTTTGAAGGAACCTGAGCTTAATGCAGGAATCCCACCTATAGCATGGGAGCACCCTGGAGTTGAGTGGTTAAGAACAGGAGCTTTGTTCCAGCTCTTTGTTTCACAGAATGTGTTATTTTAGCCATTGACAATTAGCCAAATTTTGCCAAGTTATTTCCATTTCTCTTTCTCTCTTAAATGGGAATTGTAATATCCAATTCATTTAGGTTGTTATATTTTAAGTTGGGTGGTGTAAATAGTTAACGTGCTTGGTTAATAACCAAGAGGTTGGAAGTTCCAGTCTACCCAGATGTACCTTGGAAGAAAGGCCTGGTGATTAAAAAAAAAAAAATCAGCCACTGAAAACCCTATGAAGCACAGTTCTACTCTGACACACATGGGGTCAGCATGAGTTAGCATCAACTCCAGGGTAACTTGTTTTGTTACTGGATGAATTTAAATGAATTAACGTATATAAAGTACTCTGTGCCTGGCAGATAACACTCGATCAATATGATATAATGGTGATCCTCTGGGCTCTGCTTCACATACATATGTATGCACGTATGTGGTTAACTATTTTGATCAGCCATTAGTTTGACCACTCTCCTTTGAACATACTTTTAACATGTTCTAGAATCTTTCTTTTTCATTGCACCCTATGTTTGCATCACCCCCTCTTTTTTGCTCCCAAATCACATGATTGGCATCTTATTAGCAGAAAGTGGGCTCCTGAACACAGTACTTGATAGCAAGAACATTTTGATTCAAATGACCACATATATATTTTTTCTGTATGTAACATGCATAGTGTGTTTAGGAAACTAACATGCAAGTGGGTTGTGTGGTTTGCAAAAAACCATATAATGCCCATGTTATTTGTATAAAAATATACTAAATTAGAGGACTGTTATTTGTCTTACACATATACTGTACTTTTATTATGTTTTGCTAGCGTTATCCTTTGTTCCAATTCCTGGGGGCACAATGAATGACTTAAGAGACAAGTCCAATCCTAGAATTAAAAAAAACATAGCTTTGCTTTCTCAGTTCACAACAGCCTTGAGGGTAGCCAAAGACATGTGTAACAATTACTGTGGTCCCTGATTCTTGCACTCTATCCTTAATCAGTACCTTTCCCAAGAGTTCTTTTGTCATTACCCTGTTCTGACTTTTGTGTTAATAAAACTGGTAGATTAGTATTAAAATATTTTAACTTCTTTTATGTCTTATAAATTCTAATACTTCAAATTAGTACACTACAGTTTACAGAATATTAATTTGGAAGTTTTTCTGGGGCATACCTCTTCAAAGTCCATGAAAGGTTTGTTGTGCAAATTAGAAGTGAAAATAAGATTTAAACAAGGAATATATAAGAACTTAAGAAAATAAACTTTTTGTGTTAACTAATGGTAATTTAATTCTTAAAGAATTTCCTAATAACATTATTTCCAAAGACTTTAATTTTTATTCGTCTTTCATCTGTTTGTTAAATGGTCAATAAGGACATCAAGATAAGTGTTTGTTGGTATGATTAAAACACAGAATTCCCTTTGTTTTTCTTAATATTCTCATTTGTCATAACATGCACTAATATGTGCATTTATACTTAATTGATTTCCATTTCTTCTTATAAAAGAGAACACTGCTAAGAAAATGCCTAGATACGGAGAAGATATGTTTTGAACTATCAATGCAACAATGTTCTCCGTCACAAAATCATTTCTATGTCTGGCTGAAAGGTGGTTTTTGATGCTTAAATAATAGGCACACTTTCTGTTGAATGATTACATGAAAAATTACTAACACAAAGACCCTACTAGAAAATGTGCAGTATAAGGCAAGATATTCAGTGACTAGGGAGCTCTGGTGATGTAGTGTCTAAAGGCATTTGACTGCTAACCAGAAGGTTGGTGGTTCAAACCCACCAGCCACTCCTTGGAAGGAAGACTGGGCAACTTACCTCTGTAGTGATACCACCTCGGAAACCCAAGGAGGGGTTACTATGAGTAGGGATCGACTTGACGACAGTGATTTTTTTCCCCCACTTTGGTGTTCAGTGACTAAGAGTATCAGCTCTGGAGTTATACTGAGTTACACCATTCCATTTTCCACCATCTATAAACGTAGGCAAATTTTCCATCCTCTGTATACCACCATGAGGATATGTAGGTATAGCCATTTACAGTAGTGAGGCAAGGTGAGATTCATAGAAGATGCTTAGAACACAGCCTGGAACTAGATAAGAACTCAGTAAATATTATTAGCAGTAGTCCTGTAGCTGCAGGTGTTCATCATTCTACAGAACTATGGAAAGAAGATGTAGATTATCAACTGTGATAGACCAGGTGACTACTTTCATTCCCAAAGGCCTGATGTATGGCCATCATGATTCATGGTCAGATCTTTGAGTTTATAGACTTGGACATTTTATTCTCTTAATTTTTCAGAGGTGTTTGTGTTCCCATGGCTAAATCTAAAGGATTTAAACTCAAAAGAGACTATGGCCTGGGCTTGGAATCTTAGATTAAATATCATATCACCAGAAATCTTTTGTCAATAGGTCAGAACTTCCCCTTAAATTCATATGGGGAGCAATGGTAAGTGTTGAGTGAAACCAAGGGGCACTAGTAGAACATACTCCCTCACCTGTGGGCAGCCACATCCAATTCCTTAGAAGACTGGAATCGTCTCCTGGGGCTTGTTATTCTTGGGCCTTTTTCATCAGTCTTGGAACTCAACCTTTACTCTTTGTCTCGGCCTTTGACTTAATTGAAAATTAAGAATCATACAGGCTTATTTTCTCCTCTTTCTCCTTCATAACAGATAAACAAAACACTATGAGTTGATAAAATATATAGTATAATTCTTTAACTAATACATAACAAGCAAACACAAACTCTCTGCCATTGAGTCCAAGACAATGTAAGTAATTACCAGCTTCCTAACCTTGCTCTAAAAATGTGCTACTTTGATTCAGGTTGTAAAGTAAACTAAAGGCCATTGTAGCTATTTTTTTTTTTTTTTCTCCCCATAGTTACCTCTTCCCAGTGACCATCCCTCCATACTCTCCTGCGCCCTGAGCTGTCTCCCTGTGCATGAGCAGCCCTTCCTTCTCCCATGATTGTTCTCTCCAGGG